AAAAATAATTAAATATCTGCCAAGGTATTTTTCTTCATACCCACCTAGATTGTGTTTTTCTCTGTCCTCTCATTAATCAAGTTGCCTTCTCTCCTTAGGCTAATTATAAGCCTTACTCCCTACTCTGTACTTCCCTGCCCCCACCCCTGACACCCCCACCCCCAGTTCCCAGTGAGACAAGTAAAGACATGTGAAGGGAAAAGTCACACAGCCCTTTCTTTTGCGGTGGGCTTATGCTGTTATGAAGAATCCTTACCCAACTCAACTGGACCCTCATCCACTGAGCCCCCCCTGTCCCCCCTCCTCACTGTAGGATGGTCAGAAAGTGTTTCTGCCTCTAAGGAGGGTCAGCATTTGTTAGCAACCTTCTGAGCCATTACATTGAACAGCCACCGGCAGGGATGAAGGACCTTGGATAGTGTCCTGCATTAAAACCATTGGGTGTCCACTCACGGTTGCCACACCATTAGCATGCTGTTCCTTAGAGAGCTGGAGCCTTTCCCAGGAGGTGTTGGTTAGTCATGAACCATGCAATTTCCTAGTAAGGCTGAAGGGACAGAAAGAGGAAGTGGAGGGAAGGAGCTGGCTTATAGGAACAGCAAAGGTCCAGTGGAAAGAGTTCTGTGGGCAGTAGAATGCAGGCAGGAAAGGGAGGTGCAGGGAGACCGAATGCCCTGTGTATTCAAAGCCCATGGATAAAAGGCTTAACAGAAATAAAATAGCTTTTAGGACGTATATACATGTATTCTTATACTCTCCTGAAAGATGAGGGAAAGAAAAGGTGCATTGATTCCAAGGAAGAACTGAGGGCCACACTGATGTGGCCCAGAGATGGCAGACCAGTCATGGGGGAGACTCACCTCTGCCAGCTCCTGAGGCAGGCTGACTTGATTCCAGGTGTGACTCGCCCCAAAGCAAGGCCAGTGTAACTATCAGGAGAGCATCACTGCCAGCCAGTCAGGGCAGTGGTTTCAGGCCGCCAGTGCTGGGCCCTTCACCTTTCGGAGGAACTGGGTTATGGGACAGAGAAGGAGGGACGCATAATTGAGAGAGAAACTGGGTGAGGTGTCCCCAAAGTAGACTTTTAACTTTTGTAGCCCAGCCCCTTAATTTAGCTCACCCATTCCTAGACAGGTATCAAATGAGCTTCCTGTTGTTGGACATCCTTTGTCAACCATCAAAACTCATCCACTAGGTACACAAGGCCTTCTAAGCTCTGTCCTCTCTCACTCCTCCAGGCCCATCTCCCTTCCTCTCTTTCTGCCTCACTTCATGATCCAGTAAAGGCTTGTGTTTCTCAGCATACATGTGATTTCTTCCCCCCTGCTTCTCTCAGATGGCTCCATGGGACTTCTCTACCTCTTACTGTCAGCTGGCCGAGTAGCTCTCTTCCAAATTTCCTGGCATAGACCAGGGAGTGTTTCCAGTGTTGCTTCAGCATTCTGAAACATTTCAATGGGTATTCCACCAATTCCAGGAGTCTTGTTCTTGGCTAATGCATTGAGTGCCGTTTAAACATCTTCCTTGAGCACCATTTGCTTCTTGCTCATATGCCACCTCCTGAAATGATGAACTGTGGACGAGTTCTTTTTGGGACAGCGACTCTGTGTATTCTTTCCATCTTCTCTTGATGCTTCCTGCAGCATTCACTATTTTGCCTCTAGAATCTTTCAAGATTGCAATTTGAGGCTTGAATTTTTTTCTTGAGTTCTTTCTGTTTCAGGTACGCTGAGAGTGTTCTCTCCTTTTGGGGTTCTGATTCTAGGTCCTTGCATATTTCGTTATAATATTTGGCTACCCTTTGTTCTATTCAGCTTCTTAACTTCACCCTTTCTTCCATTTGCTTTAGCTCTTCTTTGATTAAGAGCAAGTTCGAGTCTCTTCTGACATCCACTTTGACGTTTTCTGTCCTTCCTGTCTTTTTAATGCCCTTTTGCTTTCTTCCTGAATGATGTTCATGATGTCCTCCCTTAGCTCATCAAGTCTTCTCCCATTAGTGTTCAGTGCTTCAAATCTGTTCTTGAGATGTTCTCAAAGTTCAGATGGGATAGACTCAAGGCCCCATGTTGGGAAAATGGAAAAAGGGCCATATTAGGAGATTCCCCTTCCTCATTATTCCCATGAGACAAAGAGTACCTTGGCAGCACAGGGGAAGTATATTCACCTGTATAAACTTGAGAGATGCTCTCTCAATCAAAATGGGTTCAATAGATGATGGATGGATAGTTAGGCAGAGAACCCTATGATAGTTAAAGTATATTTGGATGTTGGAGGGGCTAGAAAATATTTCCAATTCCTGAGTAGAACAAGCTTGTCACAAATTTAAAAAACTGACTTTCAAGACATCTTTATTAAGTCCCAGTCTGTCAAACACTGAGTTAAAGACGCTAAAATGAACACAGAGCTGGATTGTCCCTGGAAGAGCTAAAACCATGCAATTTCCAAAAGTTGCACTACATACGTTTCAATCCTGCAAATTGTATGCCATGTAAGGAATTTTCAGTATATCTCTGGCTGTCTGGTAAAATAAAATCAAGTTCTTCGTGCATCATGCCAAGTTCCTCTTGATTTTCCTTTCCCCCAATGTAGTGGCCAGTTTTCACTTGCGGTTGTCGGCCTGGACATAACATCCTTGGGATTACGCTCTCTCAAGGAAATAAGTGATGGAGACGTGATCATTTCCGGAAACCAGAAACTGTGCTATGCCAATACAATAAACTGGAAAAAACTATTTGGGACTACAAGTCAGAACACTAAGATTATAAAAAACAAAAACAAAAATGTCTGTGGTAAGTAGCAGCCTTCTCTTGATGATGAAGATGTTCAAGTAGGCCTTTCTTTCCACTTACAGCACTGAGGGACCACTCCCGCACCTCATTCCTTTATTCCTGAAGAAACACATGAAAGAAAGCACTCCGTTCGTAACTGTGACGGAACCCTTGGAAATTTATCAGACTTCTTTCCAGATCATTCGCATTTCATAGAAGGAGTTTGCCTGGAGGCTTAGACTGCCGATTATTTGTGATTTAGGAACTAAATTTATTATTCACTAAACTCGATTTCAGCACTAGGTTTCTTCCTTCTCCTTTCCACCTTCAACGATAGATACGTGTACACACAACATAAATACTTGTACACACAAGCCATGCTCCCTACACACAGAAACAGATGAACATTCCCTGTACTGGTTTAAGAGCCCTACGCCATCTTATAAAGCTGGAAAGTGCACTGTAACCTGTAAGATGACCCTGGGCCCTGGCAGAAGCAGACATGAGTTCAAATGATGACTCTGGCCCTTTCCAGCTCTGAGACCTTGCTCAATTTTGATCTCTTTAGTCTTTCACTTTCTTAGCTATAAAGAAGAAATGGTAAGGCTTTCCAGACCCTAATGCTATTGAGAGAATTAAATAGTATTTCATATGCAATGCACAGAGCTGGTGTCTAATATAATCAGAGCAATGGATAAACCTTCCCTCTCATTGCTGTCAGCTTTAGCTTTGATCAGCAAAATGCTGAACAGGTCTAGTCTAGGATACCTTCAGTAGGGAAATAAAGAACTTTCACCAGCTTCCCAGGAAGCCTATTTTGTGTGATTATTCATTTTCTGGAGACCAGAAACACAACTCAGCATTATAGGGAACAGAGCATCCCCCACTTACAAGAGCTGTTTCTGATGATCACTCAGATCTCTAGTCCATCCTTGACACCGTGGTGTTTGTACTGTGTTCACAGAGGCCATGGGCCACGTTTGTGATCCCTTGTGCTCATCAGAGGGTTGCTGGGGCCCAGGGCCCAAAGACTGTGTCACCTGCCGCAATGTTAGCCGAGGCCGGGAATGTGTGAGCAAGTGCAACATTCTGGAGGGGTAAGAGGTTTCCTTTTATCCCTTTATTTCTATCCAAAAATAAAACTCTGGAAAGTTTATAGTTTTCATCTTGATTCCCCTCCACCTCTTTTTTGTTTTTTGGCCAAACTATTAATCACTGTGTTAGTCTGGGTAGACTAGAGAAACAAATTCACAAATATGCATATGTGTATAAGAAAGAGCTTTATATATAAGAGCAGCTGTACATTAAGAAAACAGCCCAGCCCAGTCCAGATCAAGCCCTTACTTCTGATATTAGCCCATATCCTCTTCAGACTCACGAAACACATGCAATGACACAGAATGCAGGAAGATCGCAGACCAGTGGGGGCAAAGTCTTGTGGATCCAGTGGCGGTAGAAGCATCTCAGTGCTGCCAGGGGTCCCACATGGCTCCTCCAGTTCCCAGGGCATGGGGTCTATCAGCGTAGTGCCATGTGTCTTGTCAATAGAGCACCTCTCAGGCAGAGTGTGTGTCTCCTACCTCCAAGGAGGGAATGCAGGAGTTCCCAGAATTCTTAGGAAAAGGCCATGCCCACACAGAAGCCTCACTCGTTATGAGCCAATTAACAGACTAGATTGCACCCCTTCACTCTTAATCCTCTCAAGTCCCAAATGGACACCAGATTATATAGTTACCACAATCACCAAAGGAAATAAGCTTTTTCTTTCTTTTTATTATTGCTAAGATCCTGCAAAATCCAAAGTGTGTAAGACAACCTTTTTCACACTCATTTAAATTTTAATCTAAACTCTCCCAGTTGCATCATAACCTTATTACCTGCTCTGGCCTTAGCAGAGATGAGTATGCTCCCTGAAGAATTGTGCTGTGTGTCTTGTAAGTCCCCAAATTCATTAGCTTCTAGAACCTTCTTTTCAGGAAGTAGATTATATTTTTCTAAGTTGCATAGAGCTTCCCCC